AAACAGGAAAATTGTGATAGAAACAAAAGAGAGGTTGTTTAACTGTTATGTAATCCTCCTAAATAGCAGTGAATGCTAGACAATCTTCTTACAGATGAAGAGGAAACTTTAGGCAACGGGGATTTGGTTCTCAGAAAGATTCTGAGAATACTATAGATGAAGCATGTGATTCAAGGGGAGATATTAATAAAATGGAAATAAAAAAGGACACTTAGAATCAGAGAGAGATGGTTCAGATTTTGGAGACACATGAGTAAAGAGGTTTTGGACAATTTCTTTACAAATTAATAGGAAATCAAAGATATAATTTAAATACAAAACCCAAAACTGCCAAAATAACAAAAATGGTGTTATTTAAGTTTAATAATAATCATTTTTAACTTTCTATAACCAATAAGGTAGAAGTATATTATCATTCTATAAATAAAATTATTTTTATAAATATTAGAAAATTTTTATATGAATATGAAAATATTTTTTAAATTTTTTTTTAAAATGAAGTTATATATTTTTTTTTTATCCCTTGCATTTATTATTTCTTTTGGGAGGATTTCTGCTGTATTTATTTGATATCATGAAATAGTTAACTGTACAAAATCAGGTCTTTAATTATTTTAAGAAAATTTATTAGACAAAAGAAAGTACTGCTACAAAAGAAAATAAATTGTGGAAAATTGATAAAAACTTATTGAATTGACTTTGTTTATTGATTGCCTTCATTTTGCTTTCTTTCAACTACCAATATTAAAATATTGTGGGCATCTCCAGGCATCATATGTAATTATTTTAACATTATATAATAAATAAGGAGGGAATTCAGAATTGTTGAATATCTAACAATTGTGAAAATAAATAAAATAAAATTCTTTTAAAAGATATTCCTGGTGCAAAAATGTTATCAAAGTTTTATTTTTTTTTTATTCTTCAAACAAATCTTAAAAAAAAAAAAAAAAACAACCAAAATTTCAAAATCACACTGAAAAAGTAAATTTTTCAAAAATAAATATTCATTCTAGATTTTTTCCTCTCTGTCAAATCTGAAAGAAAAAAAATATTTTTTTTATTGAATTATGCAAGCACCAACTTTCAACCAAAATTGTATTTTGAGTTTTATTGAATTATTTTGGTAATATTTCAGGACAAATTTTCAAAATGTTCTGATTTGATATTGCAGGTTTGTTTGTTTTTTGTTTTTGTTTTTTTGGTTTTATGGAAAAATGGATAGGAATAGCATTTGTTTAAATATAAGAGTGGACACTGATGGCCCAAAGATTGTGTTCATGCATGAAACAGACTGTCATCAATCACTGTTGAACTTCATGACCACTCATATATTCTTTCAATTTTTATTTATTTTAAACTAGAGTCAGTAATATTTTCTGTTATTAATAAGCATAACCTAATACATTTCTTTTAATCACAGTTTAAAGATAAAGAATCAATTAGAAAGATAAAATTCTTTATTTTTCAAGTCAAACTGTGGTTCAATATTTGTGCTTTCTGTCATTAAAATTAAATGTTAGTTAAAAACCAATCTAGAGAGGATGCTTCATCTTTAAAAAATATCCCCTTGCATAAATGTTTTGCCAAATGAAAAATATTTTTTACATTAAAATATTCATCTGGGAAGCATTTGTAAAAGTCAGTTAACTTTTCTTATTCCTCTCTACCAGTTATGGGTAAATAGCAGGAGACTGGGTTCTATAGCCTTGGATAGCTTTTCTTCTACAGCAGAAAGAAATGGCAACCTCCTGTAGGAAAAGATATCTCGAAAGATACATGATCGCTTAAGTGTGTATCATGCATGGCACATAACTGACTGAATCTTTAATCATCTTGGTTGGTATTTTTTAAAGTTGTTACAGCTAAAGCAACAGAGATGTGGTTTTACCAACAAATATTAAGAATACCATTGGCAGAACATATTATCAATGAGGAAGTCTTAAGGAAAATAGGAACGAAGAAACTTGTACTATCAGGGAAAAAAAACAAAAAAAAAAACAGTTGAAATTTCTGGGATGCATAATGAAGAAAAGCCTAGAAAATTTAAGAATTTAATACCAAGGAAAGAAAAGCAGGGAGGGAACAGTGAATAACCTACTTCTCATGTTTGCATGAATGGATGACAAAAAGAATAAATAGGAATGTTACTCAGTATAACAAAAAGCAAGTTGTAAGAGTACTATGATTGATTTGATTTTAAAAAAAAAATAAAAAATAAAAAAAAATAAAAATAAATAAAAAATCTCCCCCTCCCCCACAAAAATCAACATTTTGCAGGTTTAAAGTTAGAAAATATTTTTTTAGAGTATAAAATTTTTTTTTAGAGATAATGATTTTTACTGATACACGTTCTACTTATTAACCCATAGCCTGGGGAGAAATGGATTCATACCTTTCCCAAGAGTATTTGCATGTAAGTGAATATAACATGCCCCACTAGAATTAGCACTAAGCTCTCTAATTTCCAATTCCGAGGCATTATCCATAACACCACCCACACATCCAAGCTTACAACAATTGGTATTCCCAAATAGTCACTCATCTAGATACTGACCAGGCTCAACATTGCCTAATTTCAGTGATCATATGAGAACTGATGTAGTTCTGAAAGTACATGCCACTTAAAAGATTATAAAAAAAATTAAAAAATGTAATTCATTACTTAGGTGCATATTTCATTCACATATGAACATATTAAAAAAATATTAGGTGAATGCAAAAATTCTTAGTACCTTCTTTTGAAATCTAGAATCTGAATGCACAGTAGAAAAATATTTGTTTTTAAATAAAAATGCCAGAAACTTTTTACACACTTTAGCACTCACTTAGCAGCACAACACAACTTTTTTAGACACTAAATTAGCTACCACATTGATTGACCCAAAAAACACCAATGGTCAGAAGAAAAAAATTAAACAAATTGGTCAGAATTCCTACATAGGATTAAATAAAAGGATCTTATTTGCATAGGCACAAATATTGTTTACAATTCTGGCAATGATGTGGAAGATATACCAGAATGCTAATCGAGAAATAATTGCTCTTGGCTGGGTCCATGGAAGAGAAAGTCTATGACATGGAGACATGAAACTTTCTATGACGCCAGAATAGACATCACTGAGGAAGCATTCTGGTGTGCAATATCTGCATATAAAACAAACAGCTTAACATTTATATCTGTTTTTTTTTTTTTTTTAATGCTTCATTAGATCTGTCAGGAAATACATCTAGCCATTTTGAACATCTGAAAAACTGGTTATACAGTCTTGATATAAGATGGCAACCAATCAGAGGGGACGTGACTGAATGTCTCCTATAGGGTTCACTCAGTTGATTAGTAACATACTAGTAACTATCTATCGCACTCACAATGGCCAAGTAAATAAATTCATCACATCTAATGCAAGTTTGTTTTTTTAAACAAAATATTGTATCATCCAGATCTGTCAGCCTCCCTACAGTCCAAATACCTCCCTATAATTTCTGTTTTTTACAGCACTTTAATCCCCCATCATGGATGAGATTAGGGAGAATGTGACACTACAGCCGGTGATGATCCAAGAGGACTGTGCAGATTGTTTTTAGAAGTAAAATGTAAAGTGGAAAAGGTGTGTGGTCCCAGGATAGAAAACTTTTGCGAGGAAACTCTGGCATCACTGGACAAGGCAGGCCATCTTTTCATTAATATTTAATAGGTGGATACTTTCTGGACAAACTTTGTATTTCCTACCCCAGTTACACTAATTTTCATAGAATATTGACCTACTTATTCAATAATTCTTGATTTCTTTTTATTATTCCAAATAGTAAATTCTGTTCTATACCAATCTCACACATTTAGAAAAGGCAAATTATCAATATTTAAAAAAAGTTCCAATTGTACTGATGTTAACCTTTATCACTCTGTATGTGACTTCATTTGCCGTGCAAAAAGTTTATTCTACCAATGAAGGTGATTGATCCCTGAATTTGAATTTGTTTGAATTTCATAGTTGTGTTGTCATATCCTGCTATGGCAACAGAAAACATGTTTGAATGAAATTAACAATAAGGTTACTGTAATTGAGAGGCCTTGAAAAAGAATGCAGTGGAAAAGAAAGTAATATTAATAATGCAGAGTGCTAAAGGATAAGATAATTCAAAATATTAATTCATAACAAAACAGTACTCATCTTTTCTTCTGAATATAAAAGAGTGCTCAGAAAATTACTGTGCACTTTTCTAATATTTTTCTATATTTCAGATTTCACCCCAATATGATTTTAACAACTATATTTATAATTTTCCTCGTGTATTCTCTATTGAAACATGTCTGTTAATAAAAACATAAGTGCATAGTGACTTTCAAAACATGCTGTATATTATTCTTTATAAGACTACAAATATTAGGGATCAGCTAACCCAAGGAAATGTGGAGTTTTATACAAAACAAATCAATAGCTAATAAACATTTTAATCAATACATAGAATTTTTAATCTCAAAGTTTAAATCCAATGCTGTAACTACTGAACTATCATCATTCAGAATGAGCAGAGCAGTATACTGATTTTTTAAAAAATCATCTGCCTTGATTTGACAAATGATAGAGTGAGATGACAAGCTTTGAATGACTTCTATAGAGGCTGTACTAATTTTAAAAAATGAATTATAAATAGGTCAGGTTATTAGATGAATTATGCATTAATTATACTGTACCCTGGAACCTAATCTACAAGGGTATTATGCAAGTAAGTTATTATGGTTCAACTGATAGACAACCACCATAAGCCACTTTCTGATAAAAGTTAGTTGAAGAAACAGCCAACAACTACATCAAGATTAAAATCTTATATACAAAGAAATATCTATAGATAGCCAAATCAAAAATCTTGAAATGAAACCTCTTTTGATGACCTCCAGATTTTTATAAGAATTCCTTGTCTAGGATATCGATAATAGTCTAAGAAATCCACTGATTATCTTTATTTTCACATGAGATATCTATTGAAAATTAGTTTTAGCATTCTAAACCTTTCATTTTTGCAGAGATGAAACTGAGAAGGGCTTCTAAGTAGAGGTATAGAAAGAGATGAAGATGCATAGAAGAGGAGAGAAAGAGGGATATATATATATATATAGATAGATAGGAGATAGAGAGAGGTGGTACAGAGATGTGTGAAAGAGAAGGTTTGGAGAGAGAGAGAGAGGTGGTACAGAGATGTGTGAAAGAGAAGGTTTGGAGAGAGAGAGAGAGAGAGAGGTGGTACAGAGATGTGTGAAAGAGAAGGTTTGGAGAGAGAGAGAGAGAGAGGTGGTACAGAGATGTGAAAGAGAAGGTTTGGAGAGAGAGAGAGGTGGTGGTACAGAGATGTGAAAGAGAAGGTTTGGAGAGAGAGAGAGACAGGTGGTACAGAGATGTGTGAAAGAGAAGGTTTGGAGAGAGAGAGAGAGAGATGTGTGAAAGAGAAGGTTTGGAGAGAGAGAGAGAGAGAGAGATGTGTGAAAGAGAAGGTTTGGAGAGAGAGAGAGAGAGATGTGTGAAAGAGAAGGTTTGGAGAGAGAGAGAGAGAGATGTGTGAAAGAGAAGGTTTGGAGAGAGAGAGAGAGAGAGATGTGTGAAAGAGAAGGTTTGGAGAGAGAGAGAGAGGAGGTACAGAGATGTGTGAAAGAGAAGGTTTGGAGAGAGAGAGATGGAGGTTGGAAAGAGACTGGGACAGAGACACATGGAAGAGGAGGCTTGAGGAGACTGGGACAGAGACACATGGAAGAGGAGGCTTGAGGAGACTGGGACAGAGACACATGGAAGAGGGAGGCTTGAGGAGACTGGGACACAGACACATGGAAGAGGAGGCTTGAGGAGACTGGGACACAGACACATGGAAGAGGAGGCTTGAGGAGACTGGGACACAGACACATGGAAGAGGAGGCTTGAGGAGACTGGGACACAGACACATGGAAGAGGAGGCTTGAGGAGACTGGGACAGAGACACATGGAAGAGGAGGCTTGAGGAGACTGGGACAGAGACACATGGAAGAGGAGGCTTGAGGAGACTGGGACAGAGACACATGGAAGAGGAGGCTTGAGGAGACTGGGACAGAGACACATGGAAGAGGAGACTGGGACAGAGACACATGGAAGGGAGACTGGGACAGAGACACATGGAAGAGGGGAGACTGGGACAGAGACACATGGAAGGGGAGACTGGGACAGAGACACATGGAAGAGGAGACTGGGACAGAGACACATGGAAGAGGAGACTGGGACAGAGACACATGGAAGAGGAGACTGGGACAGAGACACATGGAAGAGGAGACTGGGACAGAGACACATGGAAGAGGAGACTGGGACAGAGACACATGGAAGAGGAGACTGGGACAGAGACACATGGAAGAGGAGGCTTGAGGAGACTGGGACAGAGACACATGGAAGAGGAGGCTTGAGGAGACTGGGACAGAGACACATGGAAGAGGAGGCTTGAGGAGACTGGGACAGAGACACATGGAAGAGGAGGCTTGAGGAGAGTGGGACAGAGACACACGGAAGAGGAGGCTTGAGGAGACTGGGACAGAGACACATGGAAGAGGAGGCTTGAGAGAGGGACAGAGATGTGTAAAAGAGAAGACTTAGGGAGAGAGACATGCATAAAAGAGAACACTTGTGATGAGAATGGCACACACACACATGGAAGAGAAAGGTAGAGAGCCTAAAAAGCTATACATCATGTATGCATAAAATTTATGTGTGAGAAATCATGCATATGTAAGTGTGATACTTTTTACAACAAACATGTAGAACAGAATAGTTTTTTTAAATATTAGTTTTAGATGGAATTCATAACTGAATGTTCCATAGTAAAACAGCTCATGAAACATTAAAGAAATGTAATTACATATTATTAAGAATTCCTAATAAAAGACTTGTAGTGCATCCTGTTTGAAGTTCAAGTATACTTTTGTAAAGAACAGCAACCCAATAGCAAGAAATTGAATTAAAAAGGAAGACAGTTTTGAGTACAACTAATCCAATCACTGCCAAAATAATTTAGATAACTAACAAAAATGTATGGAAGTACAATATGCTTCACTTCACAATGAATGGGAATAAAAAATCTATCTTTTTTACCTAAACTTCTTTGACAAGATTGAAGATCTTTTCTGATAATAATCCATTATTTTAATCTTAAGACCAGAATTTAAATAATCTTTCAAATATTTTTTATCCAAGATATTAAGGGAAAAAAAGATAAATAAATAAACAATACTATTAATTTTAAGATACCACAAACTGTGATAAAACCAAAACATTAACCTGAAAATGCAAATCATGTTCTCAAATACTCTTGCTAGATTGAGACTTTCACACAGATACCATGCCTGGTACCAAACCCGTTCAGAACTATCTAAAGGGCCAGCTGAATAAAACCACTTTCTAAGATCAATGATTTAAAATGGCTTTGAGATTATGGGTCATGGTGAAGACATCTTCAAACCTTATGAACTGGCATTACAGAATCACAAACAAAGAATTGTACCAAATAACAGAAACCACATCACTTGAGGACTTTCAACAGCAGCAACAACTGAAATGGATAGCACATGTAACCTAAAGAGAAAATAATGGCATAATCAAAATGTTGACATTCAGCACTGCTTCCAATAAAAGATTAGGAAAGAAACTCCTATCAATACTGGAAAGAGCAATTTTCCTGAAAAATTGTTTTGAGAATTATTTTATAAATTTCAATCAACAGTATTAACATTAGCAGTTATCCTACTAGGAAACATTTGGCATTTATTAACTGAGCAGCCAGTACTGTTGTTGATTGAAATTTATAAAGTCTTTCTTTTAAAACAATTTTTCAGGAAAATATGTTTCTCAAGTCTACAGGGCCAGTGTGCCTTACCCCTGAAACACCCAACCATGGTCGTTTTTTGGGACCCTATTGTGGCCTCTGTCTTTTTTTTTTTTTTTTTTTTCAAACAGTTTTATGCCCATCTGCCATTTTTTTCTAATTATTTTTAAACCGATGTTACATTGTCAGTCAACTACAGGGCCGGTGCTTACTACCCCAAACCACTCAACCACATGGGCACCCCCTGCCCACAAGGGAGAAGGGACAGAAGTGCTAATTTCAGTAGCGCTAATTTTTTTTTTTTTTAATGGTATTTTCTTTCTGAACAGGTTTTTTTTTTTTTTTTAAATCAGTTAAGAGAGTAATATATCTTGGTAAAATCATTTTTATTCTGTGAGGAGGAGCTCCAATTTTTTTTTTTTCTTTTACTAATAGTAACTAAACAGAAGTCCATGGCTCGTAATTAAAATAAAATTTCTAGTCCCTATTTCTTTACATTTCTAGAAAGATAAAACAGAAAATGATTGCTTAAAAAAGTAAAAATGTTTAAAAATTTCAACAGAGGAAAAATTTTTCCCAAAAAATAAAATACTGTTTTTAAAACAAACTATTAAGACAATCTGTGTTGTGTCGGAATCTTTGTAAAAGTTTTTTGATTCAGTGGAGATGTGTTGACAATTAATCTTTATGGAAATGTAAAAATTTGCAACTTAAGCATTTTTTCAAGTAAAATTTTGTCATGAAAAATATTGGTGGTTATTACAAAAAGAATTTTTCTCGGATTTTTTTTTTTTTAAAATAAAAAAAACCTATTCATTATAAAAGTTAAAAATTAATGAATATGTACTGAAATTTTCATTTAAATTTGATAATTCGCTGATTTTTAGTAATTTAAAAAAATGTGCTGCCCTCTCCCCAATTTTCCTTCAGATGTTTGTGGCCCCCAGGTTGGGAAAATAAAGGGGGCCACATATCAAAGTAGGGGATGGATCTGAGACTCCTAACAAAAGCCCTACAAAAGCCTATAGCTATTATTACTCTTTCTAGTATTGATGGGGATTTCCTTAAAAGAATTTTTCAAATGAGTTCCAGTATTAAAAAAAAAAAAAAATTACCAACAGTCTAATAAAATCCATCATGTTTAATATAGTCCATATCCTGCTAATCTGAAGGATTGATTATAAAAATCTTATAAAGACAGGGAAGTGAACAGAAAGCTTTCCTGTTCACGTGTGTTCAGATCATCTCCTTCTACCCAAAGTAATGAAAATCCTATGAATGATCTAATACCCATAACTAGGCATCTGATTGGTTGACTTGAATGATGATGACAGCCAATAGAATATGAGTGTGTGTGCGTGTATGTTTATACTGATAATAAAAATTTTACACAAGGATGCACAATTCAGTAATCTCTTCATTTTGAAATATTATAAACCAGGATGAACTGCTGTGATATAACAACCCATAATATTCAACTGCTTATGTCAATCAAAACATTATTGTAGCATATAATTTGTAGACAAAGATTGCAAATATATAATTATATAACATAAGATTATTAGGCACAATGCCAACAGCATATGAGCAAATTCAGTTCTTCCAAACATTTTTTTTTCCAAACCAAAACATTCATTTTTGGTTTATTCTTTTATCTTATTTTTGTCATTTTTTATGGATTATGCTCAGGTTGCTTTAATATTCTGTGATCATCAATTAAGCAACATGGATCAAAAATACAAATTAGCTTCCATTCCAATGAGATTTAAATCCTCACCAGATGAAGAGAAAACTCAAGACATCAGAAATGTGGTTTTACAAAATGAAGCTAAAAATACCATGGACATACAGTGAATTTTGGAAACAGAAAGGACACAGTTTAGGACTGCATTTCTGGTTCTTTCTAAAGTCTATTTCAACCCTATACTTCTAATTGGAGGTATGGTGGAGTAATGGATAGTGGCTCGGATTGAGGAATCGGAGAGCTGAATTTGAATTCCAGTCAAATACATTACATTCATTTACATGCTAATACTCTTGGGAAAAGTATGAATCCTCTTCTCCCCCCAGCTATGGATAAATAGCAAGGCAGACCAGGTCCTATAGCCTTGGATGACAACTGGTCTACTGCAGAAAGAAATGGCAACCTACTGTGGGGGAAAAAAAAAATCTGCCCAAGGATACATGATCACCTACGCGTGTATCACGCATGGCACATAATTGACTGACTTCTAATATCTCCATCTAAACTTTGAAATTTTATTTACTATTTATTTTCTTCTTCCCCCCACCACAATAAGAATAAATAGGTGTGTCTATCCTCCAATTTACACTCCTCCCCAGTCTTTTGTCGAGGTTTATCCCTTGTTTCCTGTTTAGCATTGGGGTTTCTGGTTCCTTCTAAAGCCTTTTGACTCTTTCCTTCCCAGTAGCGCCTTGCATCTTAGTGGTATTATCACCTTGCTTGGGGGGGAATTGATTAAAAAAAATTGGAGAATTTGACACTCACAGAACATTAAAGTCATGAGGGACAGAGGAAAACAGTGAATAACTTATTTAACAATTTGGTGTAAATAGTTGACATAACAGAGATTAAGAGAGACAACAAAAAAGATAAACTTTACTAAAAGCCGCAAAGGACAGGAATTTGTGGAGAGGCATGAGCATGATTGCTCGAGTCCTGAAGAGACAGGACACAGTAAAAGAACAAGATCGTAAGAAGTCCGTCTGACTAGGACAGAACCTTAGTAAAAGATAGGAGTAAATAAGTTTGCCTATCATCTAGTTCACAGTCCTCTTCAGTCTTTTGAACAGAAGTCAAAGTTTATCCTTTGTTTCCTATTTAGGATTGAGTTTTTGGTTCCTTCTAAAGTTTCCTCATTCTCTTTCACTCCCAGTAGCCCCCTTGAATCTTAGTGGCATTATTGACTTGCTTGGGATGATTTGATTATTAAAAAAAAAATTAGAGCACAAAAGTTAAGATATTTCAAATTTAAGCATATAGCTATATTCTTCATTCGCTACCTCTACATATTCACAATACCTAAGGTTTAAAATTAATTTTTAAAATGAAAAAATATTTCTTGAAGCTCTTATCTTAATTTTAATTTCAAGCTAATAGATTAAGTTTAATATTTCCAATAAGCAAAATACTTTGCTCTCTTTCAAAACTAATTTAGACTGACGAAGGAGATTTTGTTTTGAACTCACTAACCATTGCTGATTTTAGCTCCATTTTTAGTCAGCTGTTATCACAATGTAATTCTCTTTATTAAAAAATCCTTCATAAAAATACTTTTCTGAAACTTTATTTGAGGGACATTAGCTGAAGTTTAATTAATGTGACTTGAAACATTACTTACTTTAAGTTTAAAATATCACAGAAATGCATTTTTAACATAGCAGTAGCTCTTTTCTTAGGTGTTGACATGTTGACAGCTTCAATGACAAAAGTTTATCTAATGTTTTTCTATGGTGGTCATATCTGTAAAATTTACTTGAAGAATATAATGTAAACACCTTTTTTATATATCATTTTTAATTACTCAGTAATCTTAAAAATTTGGGGAAATATTCTCCATAATCTGTTTTATTGAATTTTGGCTTCAAATTTACTATAGTTATCCCTCGTATTTTCTGATAATGTTGCGTATAGACATACGTATTTACAAAATTCAACACATTTATACACATACAAAAATATTCCAAATTCTTTTAAAAATATTAGGTCAGAGCAGAATTTTAGTAAATGGGTACCAGTTTTACAAAAAGAAATTGAGAATTTAAT